CTGTGTGCATTTCTTCATGTCTCGTCTCCACGTCATCTGCCGGCCTCCACGTGGCTTTCTCCAGCCTGCAACAGCCACTGCGAATAAGGCGCACTGCTGAAGGCGACCGTCAGACAAGCGTAAAACTTGTTCGATGCATTCCCAAACACCTGACGATTTATGTCTAGATTACTAACCCGCTCACTCCATCCCACTTGCGTCATATTACGTAATCATCGATTGCCGTAAACCACTAGGCGACGGCTGTCTTCTACCCGCAAATTCAAGGTCTCATAGCCATAAAGCAGGACTGATTGTACAGTGGCGCAGTATACGCAACTTCCGAGCTTCAGTGAAACGTCACGTCGCCGTCACGGGTACGCTGCGGGCGGTTATCTCTCCAGGCACTGTGAAAAACCGAATGGGTTGGTGCAAACATTCACCATTTAAATTGATTGAGCCATTCGCACAAGGTGATGACTGTAGACCGTACAGCTCAAGGGTAACGGTTTGAAGTCCCAGCCCAGCGAATCGCGGTTCGAGTCCTGACAGGGACACAGAAAGTACGCACTGCTGACGAGTCCCGAACCGGACGAAACAGCTGTTCAGTGCTCCTTGTTGGTTATCACAAACATTTCCATGGCATTGAATGCATATAAACAGCGGGGAATTAACGATCTCCCAAGGAGAGAAACCCACAAACAACATCACCAACAGTGCCTGTGAAAAACCGAATGGTCTAATCCAAACATTCATCAGCCGATTCTTCTTCATAGGTACGGATAAGTGCACGAGTCCTTGAGTAGTACAACTTCAAAGCCTGATGAACTTCTCGGGTATCCCATCGANNNCGAACCGCAACGTGCACTACAACATCTCTATGTCGACAGAGTCAAGGGCAGTTCGGAAGTCGATGAAGAATGTTGCGATATATTGTTGGAAATTGTGGTGAACAGTGAAGAGCTGGTCAACACAGCCTGATTTACGGTGACCATCCCACCTGTGTCGGGCGAGTGTGGGTGTCTGACTGCTAAGCGGTTGAGCAGTATCACCGCAAACAAATTGGTCGCAATATCAATTTTTTTTTTCTTTTTTTTGATTTTCTTCCCTTTTTTATTGAATATATAGAAAAATACAATTTTTAGGAAGTGGGAAACGGTCAATCAAAGGGCTGCCATTCAACACACACAATGGGGGAAAGTCAGGCGGTGGTGGTGAGATTCAAACACATTCCCGGGGTGATAATTTGGTGACGTTACCACCGCTGATACCCTTATAATTTTAGCATCTTGATCTGTCGCCGGTTTCGGAACGGGGACTAAAACCGAAGTTGCTCAAACTTTGGGGAAATTCTTCCCTATTCCAAATGGAGTGGAAAAGAGAGTGTAGCGGATTGATTAGAGTTGGCAGATAAGCTTTAAATAGCTCTGAATGTGTTCCGTCTTCTCCAAGGGCCTTCCTGCTTTTCATAGAAGTGATTGTATTGATGATTTCTGTCTTACTAGGTGGGTCACAATTGAAGTCATAGGCCTCTGAACTGCTTTACACCTGCGGACAGTCAAGTTGGTTTGATGCGTTGTTGAGCAGCCCGTCGAAATGTGCGATCCGCATTTGCATTTACTGTTCATTTTTTTGAATAATTTGGCTCCAGATGTTGCGCAACTGTGTTTCTGATGTCTATCTTTTTTCTGCTGCGTCACGGACTAGAATAAATAGATTTATAATGTCCGTTGAGTCCATTGAAGCGACCATATTGCCTGCAATCATTTTCCAGTATTGTTTATGGTCCCTCTTGGCAGTGCGTATGACTTCGCGACGTAAAATACGTTGCGTTTGCGGACAACTGCAGCGTACGCTCGGAGATCCAGTCACTTTTATGGCGAAGAGTCTTACCTGACTGTCCCAGTGCTGCTTCTCTGATGGATTTTTTCGGTGTGGACCACTGTACGTCGACAGTGGAATCCTTGGCAAGAAACGATAAGCTAACTGGAGAGAGTAGAGATATCTGAGAAGAGAGAACGCACACAAGTGAGAATGAAACCCGATCAGGTCGAAGCAGCCGTCCAGTGCTTCTTGGCTTCTCAGTTCCCACTTTATTCGCTCTGTACAGGACGAAATTCACGATACGATACCTTATATATATATATATGTGTGTGTGTGTGTGTGTGTGCGTGTGTGTGTGTGTGTGTGTGTGTGCTCCCTTTAATCGTGCATGGCCTCAAATTTGAACCTGAGATTGAGCAGCACACAGAAAAGTGATATCGTACTGAACTTTTAACTCTGAATACGACTGTGTCGAGAAAAAACGCCTGTAATTGGTCCACTTGTGTATCATGACTTACCAACACGTGGCCGGGTCAGATGAACGCATAGCCGGATACCAAGCATAATCGTAGATCAGTTCACAATCACGCATTGTGAGCACGGCAGTCTGTGTCAGGGAACCACAGATTGGGAAATAGGGTGAAATAGTGGTAAACGTGTGAGCCGAAATCGGCAAAGCGGCTGAGTTGTGTTGAATAACTAAATCATCCAGTATTATTATTATATTTCACACTTGTCTGAGGACAGACTGTGTGCCAAACAAATCATGGTACAATAATCTTTATAAAAAGGAAAATGTTCCATGATTGGCTTGTGGGCTGAGTACTGCCAGGTTGCCCAAGCCAAGGCAGGTAATCATCCAGTATGAGTTCGATTGAAATAGATTCCTCAATTGCTAACCAGCATGAGTGCGACAGTATCGTGCCAAGCAACTGGTGAATCATGCGTCAAACAGATCATGCCAAAGAACATTATGGCATAAAGCAACTCAAGACGGTCACTCCTACATTCTCGTAAAATAAGTATAGATAATGTAATCGATAAACCGGTTCAACTTGCTCCATGATTTACAAAAAAAATATGATTACAATCATGAATAAACAACAGTCAGTGGAAAAATGAGTTTTGAATAAAAAACCGGTGTATAGTGCTTTAAGACACCGTTCTCATCTGGCTACGGTTTGGGGACTGAGATGTTACGAGCCGTGTACACAACATCCACATTCATGTTTAAGCGAACCGCACGAAAGGATCGAACACGATCTCATTAAATGACCCAGATAATAAACCAAGAAAACCGAAATTGTCCCACGTTTATTGTTCAGTGTAGCAAGGACAAGGTTCAGCAGCGTTTTTCAAGTTCGTGTCAAGCATGACGCAGAAGAACTGGTTGAATAAAAATTCATCATACTATTGTGATCGCAGTCGATCACGGAACATTCGGAAAATTCGTCGAATTAAACTAGGATTAAAATCTGTGGGAATCGAACTCACCATTTCTTCTGACACTGTAGTGCCATTTGTGGAATTCTCGGCGAACAGCGAATTGGGTAAATTGAACAGACGAAGCACATTATCCCGACTGTTGGTCAGTATGCATGAGCCATCAGGAGACCTGGATCGAAAGAAAGTGCGGAAGAGAGGGAAGGGAGGCATAGAGTCGATTTTCATCACCATAAACCCACCGCTTTCGGGTGGCAGTTCTGGTTGCTGTTGTTTACCCATTCGGTCTAAATAGGCTGCAGTGAGAGGAAAAACTAGAAAGCTGCCAACAATACTAAGGCATCTTGGAAAGAGTAAGAGAAAACCCGTCCGATTCTGCTGATTTTCCTCTTCCCAGAGCCTGAGTGTAAGAGCAGCCTTCTGATTCTGTAGGAGCTCACATGACATCAACCACGAAGCTTCATTTACAACAAATAAGATAACCTGGCTAGCGGCAGGCCGGTCGAACTGTTCACTGAAACACTCTACCCACGGTTGAGCCGTTTTTCTCTACTAAGGATAGCTTTTCCGCTTCTATCACAGACTGTTTCACTGGCACGAGATTAGTGACCCCGGTGTTACGTAGCAGTTGGAATAGCCTGAAGCAGCTGCTAGTTCCCTTTCATTAGCTGTTGTTGCCCACCAGTTGTCACATTCCTTCCTCAAGCCCTCTGAGGGCTGACCTCGTAGACCCGAGTTTAGATACTGATCGCTCGGGATTTGTCGCTTTTTCTCCATCCCGGCTACTGAATCGTGAGCAATACAACACGTCGGACGCGCATCGATTTCAACGTTCACTGCAGAATGCATAGCTCGATTATCCTGATCCCACTGCTCATCTACACCATGACGCTGGGGTGAGTCACGCACAAGCTCTGACCAATAACGTGTATGATTCACTGGGACAGGCGACGATGAGCCGATAGAGTTTTCCCACAGAAATTGTAGAAAACGGTGTTCGCGAATAAATTTCTTTTCTAATGGAGTTTACTGTTTTTTGACGACCATTGAGTGGGCGCGTGTATTAGAATGAAACTAATGTGAGATCGCACTTAATACAAGTGGTCCAATTTTGTACTGAGCCAAACCAATGATAGCTAATTGCTGTGTGGTCAATGAGAGTTTGTGTACCGGTTTAATTGAAGCGTCCTGCTGCCGTCCGTTTGGAGCTACCCTGGAAGTTGGTACTGGATAGAAGCTGTGTACAGAAATGACGAAATCAACCACCTTTATTCTTTCACTGACCGGGCAGAGCACATCGCCCGTCTGGGAGCGCTTTCGAAGCACTCAGCTTTCCAGCCTGTGCGTCAAAGTCCCTTGCTAGCACGACTTTATCAGAGCTTCTGTTGAACACAGTGAGCTTTTCATAGAAATCGTCCTTTTGTATATCGGAACTGCAGTTGGCCAATGCATATGCTAAGATGATGAGCAAACAATTTTTGGGTACTGCTTTCCTTACGAACACTGATAAGTCCCTGGAGCCTCCCCGTACTTCAGCGAATGTTGACGGGGATCTGTTGATAATAAGGGATCGGTCCTATCATTGAGTACAATAGACAGCCCGCACAGATCTACTGAACGGGCTCCGTCATCGCCTAATGTGCGGAGGGAGTACCTCGTATCTTCATTAATATTTTGCCTACTCATGAGTAGGTTGCTGATATTCAACTCAGGGTAAACAACGAACTCTTTCGGTTTCAGTTCGTACAGCTATTAACCATGAAATTTAGTGCGCCGGTTTTGGTTGCTCTCTTTTGATTGTCCATTTGAATGAACAGAAGGAGAAAGACCGGAAAGTTGAAAGTAGAGTCGAATAGAAAGTGGAGAATTTCAGTGGAATAACCATCGGTTACGATCATCCCTTGGTCCCCATCCAGGGACTTACTTATGTGACCCAGTCCCCTGGTTGGAGTTCTCATACCTTCGTGCCAGGTCTTAGCCTGACCACCCTTGGCTTTATTCCACCCACTACCAACCTCGGCAAACATCGATCGCCGTGACAACCTGAAACGACAAAAGGTAATTAAAAAAGCGGGATAGCTATATATGACCATATAAACAGCAGGTTGGGAAAGCTTAGGGTTCGTCTCTATGTTGTAATGGTTGTGTTTTAGCGTTTAGTTTAGATTTTACGATTATTACTGAGGATAAGAGTGTCTACTCATTTCAGTTTCTTAGTTAGTTTTAACTTGGTTATCACGTAGTGAATCACGTGGGTACCGTTATTCTTCCTAAGGGTCTCTGGAGATCCACACAGTGTGTTCAGATTTTTTTATTTTCCTCAATGAAAAATGCGCTAGGCGAGAGAAAATACCTTATTGGCTGAAAGCTCCCTGGGGGTCAACCAACTTAACCATTTAGATGGTGGTACTACGCTAACGTGTAGAAAAGAGCGAACCCGATTATAAGATGCACTGTTGGCGAGCAACACATTGGTGTTTAATTCAGGTGCATTTACCTAGTCCTCCTCCAGGGTTATATACCTAATTAGACGATCCTGTATAATGAAAGTAGAAACCCTAATCGAGGAAGTGATAGTCGTACCCTTCCAGACTCCCGCTGTCATTCACTACAATAGGTTGGATGCAGTTCTTCCAGTCGCCCTATTCCAATATATATTTCGTGATCGACAAACCTTTCGATACTGTGAAATGATAATTATTGCTTTTCTACTAGATTCTACATGATCCTCATCTGGTGTTTATATTCCGCCAACTTTGTTTCTTTCACGGAACCCCTGATTCTGCTTTGGCTGGTCAGGAACTATCTCGAACAATCGTTGATTTATGCTACATTTTCAAACAGTTATTGTAAGAAGCGAACTCTGTGTACCCTACTTGAAGTGCAGTCATAAGTCAGGTCGTGTTAGGGTCTATGACCAGCTTTAGCCCCTTCGCTGCCTCCAATGAAGTGCGACAATGCTGCCATATATCCCTATTTGGGTGGTGGTGGTGCAGTGGTTTAGTCGCTGTCACCGGC